GATCTTTAGAGGCTACTGAGCAATGGCTGTTTTTAGTTTGTTACTACTAGATTATATGCTTTGACAGGCAGAGTTAGACAGTGAGGGAGAGAGACAGAGAGAAAGGTCTTACTTCTGTTGGTTCACCCCCCAAAATGGCCGCTACGGCCAGAGCTATGCTGATCCAAAGCTAGGAGCCAGATGCTTCCTCCTGGTCTCCCACACGGGTGCAGGGCCCAAGCACTTGGGGCATCCTCCACTGCCCTCCAGGGCCACAGCAGAGAGCTGGACTGGAAGAGGAGCAGCCGGGACTAGAACCCGGCGTCCATATGGGATGCTGGTTCCGCAGGCAGAGGATTAGCCAAGTGAGCCACAGCACCAGCCCCTAGATGATATACTTTTGTCCTCTAAAGTTTTTTATTATATTTTAGAGTATTTGTTTGGGAGGGAAGCAGTAGATAGGAGATAGTTCTGCTTCTACCTTTCAGAGAGCTAGCTCTGGGCAAGATAAAGTCAGGAGTCCAGAACTCTATCCAGGTCTCCACGCAAGTAGCAGGGACTTGAGCATTTGAGCCATTGCCTGCTGCTCACAGGATACACTTGAGCAGGCATACAGAATCAGGAGTGAAGCCATGACTCAAACTCAGGCACTCTGATAGGAAATGCTGACATCCTAAGTAGTATCTTAATGGCTATGCTAAATGGCTGCTCTCTGCTCATCCAATGATGTTCCCAAACCTAAGCATAACAATATACATCCATTTATTTTTGGTTATTCATGTCTGTATTTGTATAAAAATTTGCATGCGTTTTCCTCTTGTTAATCAGTGTTTGGTATCCAGGAAGGACTCAGCCCTGAGCTTAGATGGCTAAGGGCAAAACATTTCCCTGACTCTGGGACAGCAAAGTTCCTGGTGCTAGGTGAAAATTGAACACATGATTATAAGTAACTTATTCAGAATTTAAAGTAGAAGAATATTATTTGTGGACTTGGCTTGTGTTACATAGCATAAAAGAGGTGACTAATTATATATTTTCTTAGACAACAGAAGAGAGGAGTTTCAAGGCTTCACTCATAATGACAAAAAAGGGGAAATGTTAATTCTCCTGATTTGATCAGTACATATGACATGTACCAAAATATCACAATAGCCCAGAAAGATGTATAATTACTATTGATCAAAAACTTGGGGCCGGTGCCGTGGCTCACTTGGTTAATCCTCCATCTGCAGTGCCGGCATCCCATATGGGCACCGGGTTCTAGTCCCGGTTGCTCCTCTTCCAGTCCAGCTCTCTGCTGTGGCCCAGAAGGGCATTGGAGGATGGCCCAAGTGCTTGGGCCCTGCACCTGCATGGGAGACCAGGAGAAACACCTGGCTTCAGATCAGTGCAGCACCAGCCGTAGCAGCCATTTGGGGAGTGAACCAATGGAAGGAAGACCTTTCTCTCTGTCTATAATGCTATCTGTCAAATAAAAAAAAAAATATTTTCAAATGTAAATGGAAACTACAGACATAAATAGGTTAAAGAGATGGCAAAAACATAGCATGCTAACACTAATCACAAGAAAGCTGGATTGGCTGTAACAAAACAAAGCAGACTTCCAGAGTAAGGAAAATAATGGAATATCAAAAGGGATATCAGGAAGTAATACAGAAGAAAATTCTTCCAAAAACAATCTTTAATATAATTGCACCTAAAAAGAGAATTTTAAACTATTTTAGAGAAAAAATGATGGAACTGCAGGGAAAGAATACAAATTGACTGATTGTTGCAAACTTCAACTATCAAGAGGTAAAACTTTAGTAAGAATGGAGTGTACTTGAACACTATCAAACTACTTGGCATTTGTAGAATGTAAAATTCAATAACCACAGAGCATATATTCTTCTGAAACTTATCTGAAACATCCACAATGACATACTACATTATAGACCATAAACCTACTTCAACAAATTTAAAATAGAAACCATACAAAATATGCTCTCAGACCACTATACGTGATAATATAAAGATGGACAGAGAAATTGAAAATGTTTAGACATTAAATAGCATATTTATGAATAATGAAAGAGTCAAGTAAGTCTCAAGATAAATTCAAAACAGAACTTAACCTGTAGATGAAAATACAGTCTCTCAAACTCTTTGCAGTACAGCCTATTCAGTGCTTGGGGGGTATTTGTAGCATCAAATTTATATATTAGAACACAGGATGAAAATTATTTTCATCTTCTAACTTATTAAGCTATATAAGGAAGAGCAATTTAAAAGGAATCAAGCAAAAAAATGAAAAATAAATTAAAAACAAGAGAAAATTACTTACAGATTTAACAGAAAATAACAAATGCACCTAACATTATAAATAAAGGAGTCATCTCTAGCAACTGCATGGATAGTAAAGAATATCAAGAAGCATATGTCCATAAATTTAATAATTTATCTGAAATGAATATGAACTCCTAAACTTACAATGTGAATATGCCTATAGCTATTTAATGATTCCTATTTGAAAGATAATGGACAGGTTCCTACCTGCTAGTTCACTCTCTAAACACCTGCAACCATCAAGGCTGGCCAAGAGGGAGCTAAGAACCAGGATCTCAATCTTGGTCTCCCACATAGGCAGCAGGGACCCAATTACTTCAACTGTCACCTCACCTCTGCCTACCAAGGTCTGCATTACCAAGAAGCTGGAGCCAGGAATCAAACCTAGTCACTCAATTTGGAATCTGAGCATGTAAACCACTAACTAAATGCCTACTCCCTGTCTACATTCATTGAAGAAGCTGAATCAGTAGTTAATAACCTTCCAAATCATAAAGTAGCACATCCAGATGGGTTTGCTAATGAATGGAACTATGTAGTAAAGGAAGAAATTATACCAGTATTTCACAATTTTCTTAAAAAATTTAAATGAATACTTTTCAATTTATCATACAAAGCCAGAAGTACTAAAACACTGGAACCAGATAAATGCATTGAGGAAACGATATTGCAGAACAATATAGTTCATGCATTAAGGTCTAAATGCTTCTAACAAAATATTAAACAGAACTAAACATCACCATATAGTAGGGTTTATTCCACATACGTAAGCCTAGTTGAAGGTTTGGGAATCAGTTCATTAGTGTGATGTGCCAAATTAACTGGCTAAAGAAAAACTTTATTATATCATTGACAGAGAACCATTTTACAAAATGCAACACCCTTCTTAATAAAAGTTCAACAAAGTAGGAATAGGAGAGAACTTCTACAACTTGATAAATTTCCTCCAGTTGAGATTATAATAAATTGAAAGAAACTAGAGTGATTCCTTCTGAGACTGGAAAAGAGACAAGGATATCTTCTTACTATTCCTATTCTACTCTATATAGAAATTTCTTGTTAGTGCAATGTGACAAGAAATAGAAATAAAAGTTATCCACTCTAATTAGTAAAGACTGTGTTTGTTTACAGAATATATCTCTGTATGTAGAAAACAACAAAGAAGGGAAAGAAAAAATAACGCTTGGAATTTACAAAAGACTGTAGGAAATTATCAAGATTTAAAGTTAATGAAGCTGGCGCCGCGGCTCACTAGGCTAATCCTCTGCCTTGTGGTATCGGCACACCGGGTTCTAGTCCCCATCAGGGCGCCGGATTCTGTCCCAGTTGCCCCTCTTCCAGGGCAGCTCTCTGCTGTGGCCAGGGAGTACAGTGGAGGATGGCCCAAGTCCTTGGGCCCTGCACCCCATGGGAGACCAGGATAAGTACCTGGCTCCTGCCGTTGGATCAGCATGGTGCACTGGCTGCAGCAGCCATTGGAGGGTGAACCAACGGAAAAGGAAGACCTTTCTCTCTGTCTCTCTCTCTGTACACTCTGCCTGTCTAAAATAAATAAATAAATAAATAAATAAAAATAAAGTTAATGAAGAGGGGCCAGCGATGTGGCATAGCGGGTAAAGCTGCCACCTGCAGTGCTAGCATCCCATATGGGTGCCAGTTTGAGTCCTGACTGCCCCACTTCTGATCCAGCTCTCTACTATGGCCTTGGAAAGCAGTAGAAGGCCTAAGTCCTTGGGCCCCTGCACCCACATGGGAGATCCAGAACAATCTCCTGGTTCCCAGCTTTGGATCAGCTCAGCTCCAGCCATTGTGGCCATTTAAGGAGTGAACCAGAGGATGGAAAACCTTTCTGCCTCTGCCTCTGCCTCTCTGTAAATGTGCCTTTCAAATAAATGAATCTATTAAAAAAAGTTAAGAAAAATAAATTGGTTTTCAATATCCAAGCACTAAACAATTACAATTTAAAACAAAATGCCATTTGAATAAGACGACATTTAGATATATAACTAAAAATGTACATGCTGATTTTTATAAGCAAATAAATGAAAACTCAATAAATTGATGAGTCTATTAAATGGAGGGAGTTTCCATGTTCATGGATAGAATGATTTGCAACACATCCTCAATAAAAATATCAGCCATTTTGTAACTCTTGATAAAGGGATTTTTAAATTCGTATGGAAAGGCGGAAGAATAAACCAGACACCAAAGAATGAAATCACTGACAACTTACACCATATGATTTCAAAACTTACTACAATGCGCCAGTGATTAAGACAGGAAAACTGATCAAAGAATAGATCAGTGGAACAAAATAAAGAGTACCTTTCACAAAATGTAGCTCAAAATACATAATCAACCTAAATATTAAACACATATATGAAAATCCCCTAGGAAAAAATTATAAAGTCTGTCATCTTTGTTTCAAGATGAGCTTTAAAATGCAAAAGGAAAAATCATGAAAGAAAATGTTGAATGTGACTAAAACTACGAGTTTCCTCTCTGCAAGAGACACTGATAAGAGAATAAAAATACAAGCCACAGACTGAGAGCAGATATTGCAGATATTGACAAAACACTTCTCTGATAAAGGTTTTGTATGCATAGTATACAAAGTATTAAATCATAAATAACCAAAATTTTTAAAAAAATCTGAAATCTGAATAGGTGTTTAACTAAAGATGTGCTGCATATGTCAAATCAGCTTATAGTTATTGACCATCATTCATCATTAGAGAAATGCTAATCAAAACAATAATGACACACCATTACAGATACATTATACTATTCAAATCTGAAAGCTGGCAAGGATAGGGTATAACATTTACTTCTCAGTCCTGCTGGTAGAATTGCTGTATGAAACAACCATTGATGGCAAGAATTTTTAAACAAAATTATCCTTTATATTATTACAAGATCTAGCAATTAGACTACTAAGCATTTTAACCCACTGATTTCAAAATTTTTCTGTACAAAGCAAAAGAAAACTTTTCCTGTGAATGCTTATTCAGCTTGATTTTAATTGGATATTTACATTATATTTATTTAGATATTACGTAAAAAACAAGCCATTCATAAAAACTTTGGACATATCTTATGCATATTGAAAAGTGAAATAAACCAGTGTTAAAATCATGTACGATATGATTCCAAGTTTATGACATTCAGGAATAGACAAAACTATGCAAGGGGGAGAGTTAGAGGGTTAAATAGTAAACACTGTGTGTTTTGAATTGTGATGTAACTGTAGTGTATGGTTCTATAAGTGATACAGACATTAAGCATTTGTCAAAACCTATAGAACTTTAAAGAAAAGAGTATAAGTAAACCTTAATCTGTACTTTTCTTTTTTAATTTGAGTTGGGGAGAGAAGAAAGCTCTTCTACCTGTTGGCCCAGTATCTAAATGCCCACAAAGCTGTAGTTGGACCAAACCAAAGGTAAGAGCTAGAAATGCAATCCAGGTCTCTCATGTGGGTTCCAGGAATCTGATTATTTGATCTATCACCACTGCCTCCAAGGGTCTGCATTAGAAAAAATTTCATTTTTACTCTGATCCTAGAATGGCTACAAAATTCAACTATATTAACTAGAAAAGAAATCCTGGAAATGGGTGGTGGTGATGGTTACATGTGAATGTGAATATAGTTATTACCACCAAACTGTATATTAAGAATAGTTAAAATGGGGGCCCACACTGTGGCACCGCAGGTTAAGGCCCTGGCCTGAGATGCTGGCATCCCATATGGGCGGCGGTTCTGGTCCCGGTTGCTCCTCTTCCAGTCCAGCTCTTTGCTGTGGCCTGGGAAGGCAGTAGGAGGATTGATCCAGTCCTTGGGCCCCTACACCCATGTGGGAGACCCAGAAGAGGCTACTGGCTCCTAATAGGTCCAGCTCCGACCGTTGTGGCCAACTGGGGAGTGAACCACCAGATGGAAAACCTCTCTCCCTGTCTCTCTGTGTAACTGACTTTCAAATAAATAAATAAATAAATCTTTAATAGTTAAAATGGAAAATTTTATATTTCGTCTTTTAATTACATGAACATTTTCAGTATGTAATACTTATTTATTGATAAATGCTCCAACAAGTTCAATACACCTCTTAAGCAATGATACTAGCTACTTGGTCTATCCTTAAATAATCTCCTGCCTCTGTGTAATCGGTCCTGAATGTATTGGGAATCCGGAGTTTACCTGGCACGTGGCAAAGAGATTACTGCACAGAATTCTAAGAGTCAAATCCTCACTGATGTTCATACTAAATATAAAGTGATCACATGTCTAAGTAGACTAGTTAAATTCATCAAATGGGTAATCACTCATCTGATTCATCATTATAAGTCATCCATTCTCTTGTGTATTGAAAATCTAGGATTAACAAATCTAGTTTAATAATGGAGCAATTATTAGTATTAATTTTATAATTATCAAACAACTAGTTTGATAACTAACTAGTAGCTGAATCTGTGCCTGAGTGAAGACACCTCTTCTAGATCAAAGATTTTAATTGTTCTTACCACACACACTCACACACAGTTAATACTGACGGGTTTGCTAATCAACTTGATTGCAGTTTTAATTTGATAATGTCTACATATATCAAATCATCACCTTGTATACCTCAGATATATATAATTTTTGTCAATCATACCTACATAAAGCTTGAATAAAAGTTATTCTATTGGTAGAGTATGAATGTATTTTTGGAACCAGAGGAAACAATGTTTATACTTACTAAAACGTACTACCACATAGGCCACAGTTTGAGACTTTCTATTCCTAATGGAAACAGACTTCTTTGGAGATTTAGTATATAAGTATTTTGAATATTTATACCTTGGAAACCTTTAGAATTTTGCCTGTTTGATCTCAATCCATGAATACAAACAAACACAAAACATAGAATGCTCTTTTGCCATTTGTTATCTTATAAAAAGGGAAACGAAGGTGCAGAGACCTTGACAAATTTTCACAGTTCAGTGCAAGCACAACAGGAAAAGAGATACTTACTTCTAAAACCTCTCCAGTTATTTCACAGGACAGCAATAGTAGACATATGGTTCTTACCATTCTATACTATTTGTTATATATTTTAATAACATTTTTCCATAACACTATTATGAATTCCAAACCTATCTATATCTTCTGACATTATTATCTAACATAGAAAGCCTTTAAAAAATTAGCTTTTAAATAACAAATGAAAAAAAGATGTGGGGAGGGATGAATATGAGAAATGATTACTTTCAGTTTATATGGAAGATTTATATAGATATGAACTTTAGTCCAGAAAAAAATGATGCAATTGCTGGCTTGCCAGTGGAATCTCTGGCCATTTATCCTACATTTAGTGATGTATATTCCAATCGCTTGATATTTGGATGAGATATCATGAAATCTTTGATTTTTTTTAGCTGAATTAATGACACCTCTCACACTTGAGATTACTAGGTGGGTGATTATCATATTTAGAAGTTTTGACAAAGTTATACCTGAAAATGAATAAACTAGATATGTTTGAGATGCCTGCCAATTTGAACTGCATTAATCATATAATGTATAGATAATATATATACATCCTTTACAGTTATAAAAAATAGTAATTCTCTTTCCTACATCCAAATAAGAGAGCAAAGGCCAATACGTTTTTTAAACTAGTAAATTACAGTAATCATTTGGTATAACCAAGGCAAATTTTTTTTCTTTAGTAATTAGTTTTATAATGTAATAATTTATCTGCACACTTGTTCACTGAAGAGTTTAAGCATGGAACAGGAGCATCGAGGTGACATTGTCAGATCTACTTCTTGAAATAATGAGAGAAGTGAATAGGGTAGATATCTGGCATTTAGACTTTATTCAACAGAGATCGAGTCATCATTTAAATGTTATTAAGCAGAAGAGTTGTACATTGAAATCTACATTTTGCTTCTCTGCTTCCTAGGAGAAACTTTTCAGAAAAAGAATGTGAAAAGGAGAAGGTTAGTGATGCAAAATACCATATATATAACATTTTTAAAAGGCTTCCTTTTTCCCTGAAATGAAGTGCTTAAATTTCTAAAAATTGTAAATAATATTAAGCTCAGCAGTGCCCTTCAGGTAAATATGCAGTAGCCAGCACCACAGCATTGTGGAGGCCAAAGGAGAATAACGCATCACTTTCTGATCCAAGAGGTAAATAAAGGATGTATTCAATCCATACCTATCGGACGTTCCAATCCATCCCCTTAGGGAACACTCTCTATAAACAACTGTGGAGTACATTTTTATATAGAAAAAAAAGCAAACAAAAGGAGGTTGATTTTAAGGATAAATTGATTTAAATTCTTGTAGCCTGGATATATGTAAAGATCTGAATATGTGTGTTATAGAATATTACACAAAACAAATTTAGTTGCCTCAAAGTAAGATAACTTCATAATCAGTGACAAAGTCCAAAATAGACCTTCAAATTTTGGTAGTATCTTCCATTTTAGGTAGATATAAAATCATAAATATATATTGAAAATACTGACAAATATATTCTTCATGTAACTTTCCCCATATTCCTTCCCCCATCACATCTCTTGTATTAAACATTCATATCTTTCAAAAATCATCTTTTGATCTTGCCTCATATTATTTGGCCTTTTGGGGGTGTTTCTTTTTTTCCCCTTTCATTTGCCTTCTCCTACTCCTGTTATTTTAAATCTTCTGGAATTTCAAATGATCAAATGACGAAAAAGATTATTAGGTAACAGGGAGGTTAAGCAATGACAGAGGCTCAGAAATAGAAGTATGGAGAGAGTACCTATGCAGAACTAGCTGTAACCAATTTTTAAGAATAACCATATCAGATAGTGGATCCACAGCTTTGAAATTCAGACAGGGATCCATGCTAAATGGGACTGGACAGTATGAGCCCAGAAGCACAGTTGTTCTTGGTGGATGTGGTGAAGAAGTGTCAGCAAAATAAATCGACTCAGAAGCTTTGATCTCAACAATTCTGATTTTGAGTGGTATCAAATCTGATTTCTTTGGAGTTGCCTCCAGGAAGGAAAGAGAGGCACTGCTATAAGACTCTCAAGAAAACACATTTCAAATTTTAATGTGAATGTGGAATATCCTGCAGATCTGGTAAATTTACATTCCAACTCAATTAAATGTGGATAGTAGGGCATGAGATTCTAAATATCTAACAATTTCCCCAACTCAAATCTCTGGATTACTCATAAGTGAACAAAGCTCTCAAAAGATGAATTTTCTGTTTAGCAGTAAAATAAATAAGTGGGTAAAAAAAGCTAAATGAAGGTCTTCAAACCATTTCTTAAAATTATAAAAACATAACTGCAAATATTTAAACAATTGCTTTCAATTTACTCAAATAGAGAATTAGTATATAGATTGAATAGTTTACTAAGGACTATAAACACATTATCTTCCTTGTATAATACAATAACCCTTTGAGGGTTTATTTATTTTACTAATGAAGTAACTAGAGGTTCAACAGGTAAGATTCTGAGAAGAGACATGGCAACTAAGGAATATGTACCAGAAAACACTTTGTGGTCTCTTTAATTCATACCACTTTGAAGATATCCTTAAGCATTCACTAATAATCATCTTCTCTTGAAATGGCAAATGAGGGGCTGTTTAAGAGTTTGGAGGAAAACTATCTTTTATTTGAAATGCAACCTATTTCTAAATAAAATCAAGACTGCTAGGTAGTACTGTAACATTCCATATTCCTATTCTAGGATGTGTGCTAAGAACATAAGTTCAATTTTGTGATTTGATACCATTATCACAAACCATGTTCAGGTCATCAAGGCCTTTATTTAATTACTCTGATTCCTAACACCTCCCTGGACTCACACCTTTGTTCACTGTCCTCTCTCCTTCCAAGTTTTCTACATCTCTTGATATACTATCACTTTGTCAGAACTTAATCATTATTTTACTTTCTCAATGAAGCCTTCCCTGGATCACTATTCCAAATAAGTTCATAAAAACATTGAATAGATTAGCCTTATAGCATTTGAGGATTATAATTAAGATCTAGAAACTCAAGCAATTTACTAAGTTATCTAAAATATTAATAAAATTATTAGTGAGTTTCCTTTGAGTACATCTACTTTAATTTAGCTATACCTCCAGGAACAGTGGCAATGAATGAGAAATTCATGATCCAGATGCCCTGTGCAGATATCTGTGTTAGGTGGCTCACACAGTGTTAAAAAGTGATGATTATCAGCTTAAGTAAATGATTGAAGACTCCACATAAAAACATACTTATTTCCTCTCCCAAAATTCAGAAGATCTGTCACGTTTAGTGTCCACTTTCCTGAATGACAAGAGTCAACTAGAAATATGTTGTTTTTGTATTATTTTACACAGAATTCTTATAAATATATTCCTCACTCACCGCTACCCCGGCTGGTTTTCCGTCTGACTTTGGT